CCTGTAGCCTTAGGCCTCATTTACATTGGATGTGTAACTCTTTCCTCTTCTGCTGCATGCACTTGAAGACAAAGCTGCATTTTGTTTTGAGGTGGGGTCAAGGGAGGGGTCAGGGGTGTGGTAGAGGGCAGGGCCAGGGTGGGGTTGAAGGGGGAACTGTCAGGTAGGCTGTACGGGGCCCCATAATTTCTAACAGTGGCCCTGACCTGACAGCTTGGTCCATAAGGAAGATGAAAAATAACAGACTTACTGGTTGCATCCCAAGGGGAAAATACAGGATACACAGTGGGGTTGATTCACTAAAGGCAAATAGGCTGTGCACTGCAAGTGCACTCCAAGCGCACTGAAAGTGCAAAAAGCGAAAAGGCTCACACTCGTGCGCTGCTACATCCTAAATACAAATAAGCAAAGAAAGGTTGCTGTACCCACTCACTAAGTATGATCACACTTAAAATTTATATAAACCAAAAATGTGTGTGCTAACTCCTCATCCAGATATATAAATGAAATAAATAATCCGCCAGTAATCTCATGCAAGATACATCCACACTACAATAAAAGTCCAACTCCCAAATCACAGAAAGTCCAAATTAGTGCATTTAACACTTTCCGGAAGACAATGCTTGTGCTCAAGGTACTCTCCCTGCTCACCTTTATGTTTGACCTACAAATTATAATAGGTCAATTGCGTTTTTACAGAAGTGAATCCTTTCATGTGGCGATGAATCCAGAATTTTTTCACTCAATCATGACTCCAAAAACATGTATATGAAAAACAAAAACATACAGTATATCATAGTGCAACCCCGTTTAAATTAAAGCTAATGGTTGAGTGCACACAAACATATGCGCTCACATTACAGCAAAACACACCGTGCCCCTCAACAGTGTTGTAAAGTGTTCACTTCATCCAAAGTATAAAAAAGTGCTTCCCATCACCAATGAGTATGCCATGCAGTCACCTTCTTCCTTGACCTATCATACAGGTCATAAGCACTATAAACAGTGGTAAATCTTTTGCTTGTCCACCGCTATCCCCTAGTAGCTATTTCCTTGCTACTGGCCCTTTAAGAGACCGGATTTAAGCATCCCACCTGGATGGTAAATGCTCAGGGGAAAAGAGGACAAATTATAGTGCAACCCCATAAAAAAGATTTCCTTTATTAAGCTATATAAAATCCACACACAAAGTGCAAAACAGTGAAGACGTAATTCCAGTGACAAAAATGGTTCCTCTCACCACACTTCCTGGTTTGCGATATACCGGAAGTGATGTCACTAGGCTTCACCCATGAAAAGTGATTTTTTTTTTTTATTGTATATGAAATAGTAGTGTTTTATCTCTGCTCTATTAAGGCCGGTGTTAGGAGCTTTGTTTCTGATCACCATGGTTACCTGTTAACCTATTTGGGGCTCTATTTAAATGGATGCATGTCACAGGGCTGCTTACCCTGAGGAAGTCACGTGACCAGTGACGCAACGCATGGGTGGAGCAAAGTGACTTCACTTTCGGTATTGTGCAAACCAGGAAGTGTGGTGAGAAGAACCATTTTTGTGAGTGGTTTTTTATTGCCTAATAAAGGAATTTTTTATGGGGTTGCACTATGATTTGCACTGGAAGTACAGTTGCTCTAGATTTGAGGGTAACATGCAAGGAAAATTTAAAAAAAAAAACCTGGTATTTTTGCTTGCACAGGATTGAATGAAGGAAATCAGCAGCGCTTCCTCTCATTTCAGAGCTTCCCTTCAGATATAAAGCAACTGCACTTGCAGTGCACAGTATATTTACCTTTAGTAAATCAACCCCATAATGTAGACAGCTTAACCGCTTCCTGAGAATGCCCTATAGCACATATACTGCTACAGGGAGGCACGGGTGCGCAAAATCACATGTATATAAACGTGATTTTCCATTTCCAGTTAGGGGGCGCACGCGCGCCCTACCTGTGCTGCCATTCGCGGCCGTGGCTGTCAATCTCCAGCATCTCCGACGGGGAGGAGAACTGTTTGTAAACAAAACTGTTCTCCACCCTGTCAGCTCCTGCACACTGCTTTGGATTGCTGTGCACAGCATAGCCATGCAAAGCAGTGTGATTACAGTGAAGCACATGGACACCGCATATAGTGAAACAGCACACAGTAAACCCTTCAATCGCCCCTCATGTTAACCCCTTCCTGCCCAGTGCCAGTGCTTTTTTTTAGCACTGATCACTGTATTGATGTCACTGGGGATGTCAGTGACACCAAGTCAGTTCCCCCCCAGTGTCAGAAATGGCCGCCATAGTCCCGCAGTCCTGCTATAAGTCGCTGACCACCACCATTGCTAGTAGTAAAAATAAAAATTCCAGCATCTATTCTGCCATTTATAAATACTATAACTTTCACGTAAACCAATTAATTTACATGTATTGTGATTTTTTTTTTTTTTTTTAGCAAAGACGTGTCGCAGAATACATTTTGGCCTAAATTTATGACGAAATTTGATTTTTTAAACATTTTTTTACTGGACATGTTTAATAGTAAAAAGTCAAAAATACAGTTTTTTTCTAAAAATCGTCGGTCATTTTTTATATAGCGCAAAAAATAAATGCACAGGTGATCAAATACCACTGAAAAAAAGCTCAAATCATGGGAAAAAAGGACATCATTTCATTTGGGTGCAGCATTGCATTGCAATTGTCAGTCAAAATAACGCAGCGCCGTAATGCAAAAAATAGCCTGGTCAAGAAAGGGGGTAAATCCTCAGGAGGGCAAGTGGTTAAGAAGCATCCACACTACCCAAACCCCAGTCTGACAATGCTGGTGGCTAAAGGTGTCTCTGTTGCTCCTCCATCCAGATTGGAGACACCCTAAGACAGGAGGTAGCTGGATCACTAGGTGAAAATAAATGGGAAAAAAACAAAGAAAATGAATGCAGCCATCACAGTCTAAAAATTAGTAAGCTGTAATATATCACATTTTTGCTTTTGGGTTTATTACCTTTACCCTAGGTTCACATCTGTGCGGGTGGTGCCACTGCGGATCCACACGAAAATCCTTGCAGCTGCACCACCCACACAGAGAAATGCGGACCCACGGGCGGGTGCCATTAGTTCTAATAGCACGCCACCCACATTGGAAAACGCAACTGTACTGGGAACCGAGGTTCCCGTGCGGGCTGCGTTTTCAGAAGTAGTGCAGGGACTTCTTCCCTGCATGTCACAGGAGTCCATTCAAATGCCTGTGCCTGTGCAAAATGCGACCCCATGGCTGCATATATGTTAACCAGGGGTTAGCGTTTGCTGCATTGTGTGGATCATCAAAACTGTGCATAACTGTCACAGCAAATTATACAGAGGCTCCCTAAGAATTCTAGTATGGAAGAGCAAATGCTGTCTAATGATATAACTTACAGTATATATTTATAATGACATTCCAATATGTGCCAGTGATGTAGGGATCAGATGATATTATTATCTTTTCTGGATGGAAGATGCCAGTGAAGGCTTGGGCTGCATCAGTTCGTCTGCACATGCTTTCCAATAGACGTCAAAGGTTTGTCATCCTCTGGTCCCATGCAGAGCTACACCAGCAACATCCACACTTTCTATAAGCCATGTGAGCAGCTGAAACACGTTTTCTCCAGCCCCTACAGCCAGCCCCAGCATTTCTCCTGTCCCCACCTACCTCCTAAATCCAGCCCACCCCTGTCCCCAGCATACAGGCAGCTTGTACAGTACTGTGCATCCTACATCCTCCTCTGCACACCTGCCACAACGCCAGTCCTTGTAGCATCAGGTCCAGTGGACAGAGCCAGCAGTGCTGCATCCTCACTGATCCCATTCATGTGCTCCAGCCATCCTCACTACAGCCCATCTAGGAGATGTCCTGCTGAGTCTTGCTAAAGGTAAGGGTCATGATCTCTTCTATGCAGCAAGTGATTTAAAGGCATGCTTACAGAATAGTGTCATTGAGTATTGTTAAAGGCATGCTTTCAGAATAGTGTCATTGAGTATTGTTAAAGGCATGCTTTCAGAATAGTGTCATTGAGTATTGTTAAAGGCACGCTTACAGAAGAGTGTCATTGAGTATTGTTAAAGGCATGCTTACAGAAGAGTATCATTGAGTATTGTTAATGGAATGCTTTCAGAATATTGTCATTGAGTACTGTTAAAGGCATGCTTACAGAACAGTGTCATTGAGTATTGTTAAAGGCATGCTTACAGAAGAGTATCATTGAGTATTGTTAATGGAATGCTTTCAGAATATTGTCATTGAGTACTGTTAAAGGCATGCTTACAGAACAGTGTCATTGAGTATTGTTAAAGGCATGCTTACAGAAGAGTATCATTGAGTATTGTTAAAGGCATGCTTTCAGAATAGTATCATTGAGTATTGTTAAAGGCATGCTTACAGAAGAGTATCATTGAGTATTGTTAAGGGCATGCTTACAGAAGAGTATCATTGAGTATTGTTAATGGAATGCTTTCAGAATAGTGTCATTTAGTACTGTAAACGCATGCTTTCAGAATAGTATCATTGAGTATTGTTAAGGGCATGCTTGCAGAATAATGTCATTGAGTATTGTTATAGGCATGCTTTCAGAATAGTATCATTGAGTATTGTTAAGGGCATGCTTACAGAATAATGTCATTGAGTATTGTTATAGGCATGCTTTCAGAATAGTGTCATTTAGTACTGGTAAACGCATGCTTGCAGAATAATGTCATTGAGTATTGTTAAAGGCATGCTTTCAGATTAGTGTCATTGAGTAGTGACATGATATGAAATGGTAGCACCAATGTTTTGTGGAGTAGGGAGTACTATGCAATGTGCCTGTGATCCCTTGCAGCCAGCAGTGGTGAAGGTTTGAGCAGTCATCAGCGCACAGTGTAGTTTCAGCACCGCGGACAGCGCCAGCCGGCACTCGGCAGCGCTCAGCAGTAGAAGTCACATTGCCCTACTCGAGTCCTTCTCATCGCTTTCTTCTGGTTCATTTCAGGCACCCATACACTGGAGAGATGAATGAAAGCCTTAATGAGAACGACACCGGCTTCTCTCTTCCCTGGATCCAGACCAGCGATGTCAACGCTTCCCTGGAGTTGTCTGCTTTCTTCTCCATCTTCACCATCAACCCATGGGATATTATGTTGTGCATCTCTGGGACCATCATCGCCTGTGAGAATGCTATAGTGGTGGCCATCATCTTTTACACCCCGACACTGAGAACCCCAATGTTTGTGCTCATCGGAAGCCTAGCTACTGCAGATCTTCTGGCCGGCTTTGGCTTGATCCTGAATTTTGTGTTTCAGTATGTGATCCAGTCTGAGACTATTAGCCTTATCACCGTAGGGTTCCTGGTGGCCTCCTTCACTGCCTCTGTCAGCAGCTTGTTGGCCATCACGGTGGACAGGTACCTATCACTCTACAATGCACTGACTTACTCATCTGAGAAGACCATCCTCTGGATACATCTCATGCTTGTGGTCACCTGGGGGGTGTCAGTATGTTTAGGACTTCTTCCAGTGCTGGGCTGGAACTGCTTAGATGACACCTCTTCTTGCAGCGTTGTCAGACCTCTGACCAAAAGTAATGTGACTCTGTTGTCCACCTCCTTCTTTTTCATATTTATTTTGATGCTGCATCTCTACATAAAAATCTGCAAAATTGTGTGCAGGCATGCCCACCAAATAGCACTGCAGCAGCATTTCTTGGCAGCATCCCACTATGTAGCTACCAAAAAGGGGGTCTCTACCTTGGCCATTATTCTTGGGACATTTGGGGCCAGTTGGTTGCCTTTTGCTATTTACTGTGTGGTGGGAGACCAAGACTATCCCTCTGTGTATACATATGCCACACTCTTACCTGCCACTTACAACTCAATGATCAATCCTATCATCTACGCCTATAGAAACCACGAAATACAAAGATCCATGTGGGTCCTCTTCTGTGGCTGCTTTCAATCCAAAGTGTCCTTTCGATCTAGATCGCCCAGTGATGTTTAAGTCCTAAGCGCTGCACAAGTGACAATCTATTGAATGAATAATGCCTGCTAACTTCTAGGTTTGTGTTGTGTACTTGTTGAGAAGAGACTTTGAAAGTAACATTAGCACTTTATATGTGGGAATGGCCCATTTGTGCGAGTCTGCAGAGTTGTGTTCGCTCAGAACAATGTGGATGTCTCCTACAAAACTTGTGTGAAGGGAATACATCCTACGGTCGCTTCGATATCGCACTTTATTTCAGCTGCTGTACTGCCAAAACAGTGTTGCGTTTTTAGGGCTGAATGAGATGGAGAATGCATTGTGTGACTGTGTGTATGTGTGCGTATACTTGTTTATGTGATAAAATATTTTGCTGAAAACTTTTGTACCCAACGAAATAAAAGTCGTTGAAATGTAGCTATTGTTCTTTGGGTTTTTTTTTTTTCAATAGAACTTGCATAGATTAATGTATTGTGATTATTGCACTAAGGATTATAATGGTAATGTGTATCTCTTGCCCAAACTTCTATCACTTTGGATAGAGTAGGGAATGGTTAGAACCTCTGCTAAGTTTACAGTCTGTGTACCAATGGTGAAATTAGCCTTCACTTCCTTTCCTGGAGACACAAAAGGAGAAGAAATATTTTCAAAGTGAAGGAATCTCCCTCTTAGGAGCATTTTAAAGTGTTTTTCTAGAAACTGGATGTGAGGATTTCAATTGTATCTTATGTTGTCTCTTCATATCTGAACATCATCTCACTTAAATCTTCTAGTTCATAACTCAAAAAAGTACATGACGATCACCAGGGCAAGGTTGGGTGTCTTTAGTCCCTTAAGACCTCAACGGGAGCACATAGCAAAAGCCTGAAATGTGTGGTTTTTCATGCAATTTCTTGTCTTTCCTCTTTGTAAGTAGCTTTCCACTGGATAAGACAAAACACTCAAGCCTGAAAAAAGCATTTGCAAATGAACATCAGTCTGCTTTCACACTAATCCATTTTTCTTACACTTTTGCATTAAAAAAAGTGCAAGAAAAACACTTGACCATGAAATCCTATGGAACTCTTCACACTGATCCATTGGGGGTCCACTGCGTTTTGTAAAATCCTGCTTGCTGTATTTTTGGTGCATGTTTGGTGCAGTAAAAAAAATGACACCAAAAAAGCAACTCCCCATTAAAATTAATGCAAAACATGGCAAAAATGCATAAAAAATGCATGTGTTTTTTTATTGCGTTTTTGCTATGGATCAATGTGAAAGCAGCCTGAAGAGGCTTAAGCTCAATTGCAAACCTTGTTACCAGAACAAGTGTCCCCATTAGGAGGTTTACTTCTATTCATGTTCTAGTGACAAATATGAAATGACAGCGGTCACCAATTGGGGTGAATCTGCCATGGTCTAAGTGAACACTTGCGTGGTGTGCTATGGGACCCCGCATGTGAGTCGCACATGAATTGCACCGTATCCCTTTGCACGTCACATGGGATGTCTGTGTGGTGCTGTTTTAGCCATACATTTTGTATGGTTCAAATCCCACTGCATCCATACCAAAATGTTGCAGGACCCTATTTTCTTGCACCTCATCTGCATCGCATGGGTGTTTACACCCATGCAATCCAATTTCTGGCAATCGCGATGCATTTTGCAATCTGTTTCGGAATGTCATTAATTTAACATTGACACCCACACCAGATCGCATGGACGCAGTGCGATTGCAAAGCGGTGCGGAAAATGCACAGGATTCACTGCGTTTCCAGTATTACATTAGTGTGAACTGCTTGGGCTCAGAGTTTTCCCTACTCAAGCCACTACCACAAAAATAAAGTTGTGGCTAGAGGTACACTTTAATTAGCACAAGAAGGGAACTGATGCTACCAGTTTATTGAAGTGGGTGACTGCTGTGTTTTTTTTTATTGCCTAAGGACATAAAATGACACGCACGCAGGCACTCTTTTCCTAGGAGAGTTTATTTCAAAGCAATTACTTTTCCTTTGCCCTTTTAGCAGACGCTCCTTATTAAGATGCACAATATACATCATAGCATTAAACAGTCCTGCGTCTGGAGCTTTAGCAGGTTTAGCACACTCCAGAGATGCTGCCAGGGTTTATTGTGGTGATCCCTATGATTGGGCTTTACGTCAGAGCACTTGCAGCAAAGTATGCTTTCATTTTCTAACGGAGCAGTGATCTGCATGGATACCTGAGCTGAATACCATTAACGCCCACTCTACAGCCAGGAGACATAGTCACTCTGTCATCCTCACTATGCTGCTCCTGGCAGCAGAAGTCTGTAATAAAGACACGTACACCTATGACAGGTTGTTTTCACATGCCTGACACAGGCAGAAGGGTGCTTACTGCTAGTCTAGTCTCACAAATGAGATAATAAAGCCTGTTACTATATTGTGCTTTAAATGGCCCTTGCAGATGGTCAAAGGTACTTAGTAGTACTCGTCTAGCCTAACAAACAAGATAATAAAGCCTATTTTTATCTTGTTTTTTTTTTTTTTTGTACTACCTTTGGTAATAAAAAATGATGCAGACACTGTATTTCCTTTTTAAATAAATGCAATTCAATGGTTAAATGCAACTCACAGGTTTGTAGACACTAGGTCTTGCGAACTTAGAATTCTGTATCACAAATGTAACATTTATATTTTCCAGTTTTGGATAATAATCTTCAAACATATTAAAATGTCACACATCTTTTACTTGTAAAAGAAACATATGAAATGTTAACTTAATTTGTTCTTAATCCTTGAAAATCTGCAGCTCATGTTGAAATAATGCTTGGTGATCCTGCCATGAATGTCTTTTTTTTTATTTACAAACTTTCTATTACAGGGTGACTTTTCTAATTGTGCCCCTGCATTGCCACCCTGTCCCATATGTGCAAAAGATATGTCTGTGTTAACATCAAAAGCAGCTTCCATATAAAAATAAATATATAAAAAACACATCAGGTTCTAAAGCACATGTGTCCACATTTTAACACCGAAAATTCGGAATGGATTCCGTGCACACCCTTTGGCCTCTTTCACACTGGTAACTAGGGGGAGTCACCATTTTACCAACCCTTGCCCACCCACCTGAAGTCTACAATACAGCCAAAAGGGGCTTTTTAGATACCACAGCAGAAATCCTTGGCACTGCAGGCATGGCAAATTTAAAATAGCATGTCAAGTTGACAAGCGGCACTATCTGTCAAACTTAGCCATTCGAATCAATACGGCTATGCTGCAACTGCAAGCCAAACACTTGGCTCGTGTTTGCTGAACATTAGTCTCATTGAAAATTGTTGTTTGCCCAGAAGAAAAAATAAAAAAAACAGCCATTCGGGAGGCGACAGGATCACCCCCTGAAAGCCTGAAATCGGCTGCTTAGCTGCACTCTGAAAAGCAATCCACTGCGGATCACTTTTCAGAGAATGTATGAATCTAGCCTTACATATTTTGTAGCAGACATTCTGCATAAAAAAGGGGTCATTGGTACATGTACATTCTGATGCATGTTTAATCTGACCAATTGTGTTAAAGTAATCCTTCTCTAGCTAGTCCCTACACTTCTACACTGTTTTGCTTATGGCATACTTTAACAGACATGTAGAATAAATTTGGAGTAGATGGACATAGTTTGAGGAGTGCTACAGACTCACTGATATGCACTAGGAAATAGAATAGAAGATATATCTATCCTCAGATCCAAATAGTTTTTATACTGTGTATACAGTATAACACATTGGGGTTGATTATTTACCAAAGGCAAATAGGATGTGCACTGCAAGTGCACTTGGAAATGTGCTGCCAGTGCACTGAACGTGCAATTGCTCTAGAACTGCGGGGAACATGCAAGGAAAATCAGCATTTTTACTTGCACGTTTGGATGAAAGAAATCAGCAGAGCTTTGCCTCATTTCAGAGCTTCCCCTTGGATATAAAGCAACTCCACTTGCACTGCACAGCTTATTTACCTTTAGTAAATCAAACCCAGAGCAGTGTGCAAAGGGTTAATTCAGTTTTGTTTTTTTTTACGTTACTCACAGCTAGGGTTTTTTATGATAGAAGAGGCCCAATTGGTCTCTTGTATCGTAAATGCTTCCCCCTGCCTATCAGCTGTAATGTACACTGAGCCGTGCATGTGCATCTCAGCGTACATTTACTGCACCTGATCTCTGCCCTGGCGATGTGACTCCGGTGCGCATGCACATGTTGTCACTGCGGCTCAGACATTCAAGTGGCCAAACATACGGAACCTGGAAGGAAGACTGGAAGCACCCAGGACCAGCAGAAGCGGTGACAACGCAGCACTGAAGGGCTTCATTTGACAGGTAAGTCTGCCATTATTTGCTAATATGTAGTACATACTAGCACATTATGGTAAAACATACCTGGTTATATTATTAAAGTGGTGTTAAACCCCAAAACAAAAAGTAACATAATGCAACTTACCAATCCTTGAATAATGGCTGCACTAGTGTCCTTTTTTTAAAACCTTTTCCTTTATTTCACCTGGTGATCCAGCCAGTAACCCACCTCCGGTCTTATGGTGTCTGCATTCTGGATGAAGTAGTAGAGCAGACACCTTTGGAGAGCAGAATTGTCAGTTTGTAGAGATGGTAGTGTTAGACTAGCAGATTTATAGACATAGTTACATAGTCTGGCTGACAAAAAGACAAAAGTCCATCCAGTTCAACCAAAGAAAAAAAAAAAAGTTATAATCCTACACCCAGAGTTGATCCAGAGGAAGGCAAAACAACCCAGCAAGACATGATCCTATTTGCTCCTGCAGGGGAAAACAAATTCCTTCCTGATCCCCGGAGAGGCAATCGGATATTCCCTGGATCAACTTTACCTATAAATGTTAGTATCCAGTTTTCTGTGTATCCAGTTAAATGTTAGTATCCAGTATCCAGTATTCTGTGTATCTAAGAAAGAATCCAGGCCTTTTTTACAGCAATCCACAGAGCTGGCCAGAACCAACTCTTGAGGGAGTCTATTCCACATTTTCACAGCTCTTACTGTG